AACCAACACTTAAAAATGCTAAGTAAATTCGAAGCTCAAAATCACTTTATACACATTTCTTGTTTTTTTTTACAGTAAAAACTGCGAAAGCTCTCGGTACAATATTTCGTATCGTAACAGTGATTCATGGCATGAAAAACTTCAAATGCTATCAAAGCTATCCCTTCTGGAATGTTTTTGGATTACTGGTTGATTGAGCTGTCCGGAAATCGTTAAGCTAAAAACCATTCGAACAAGATCGCGAGCAACAGCATCACAATGAGCCACCTATTTTTTGGATTCTGAGAGATAGAGAGAAGCGCTTAGATCGTGTAAAAAGGTGATTTAAAGGGTAGATCATTGGCTGCGACAGCTATTTACTGCTACTCTTATTGCATTCCTGAAAGGACATTGTAAGTGGACAATCACCAACGAAAACGATTTATAAACCAGTCTTCTATAACATTCCTAGATTAATGTGCTTACAACATAGGATGAGTGAATAATTAGCAGTAAGGTGCGTCATCTGTAAAAACGTAGCTAATTTGTAAATGCCTTGTCGAAAATGCTGGGGGGGGGGTGGGGTGCAGGGTCAACCGTCCGTTCGAACAGTTCGAACGGGGGGGTCGCATTGGGATCTGGAGGGAAAGGGGTCGCATTGCGCGCGCTTTGGCTCATCAAGCAGGGACAGGTGAGTGTGAAAAAAGCAAAAAAGTTGCCGTTTCAGTGGTTGTATATCCCCCCCCCCCCCCCCCCCCCCCCCCCTCGACCGAAGTAGCGGAGTTTCGGAGTTTTAGGTAGGTTTTGGCTGTGTCAACTGGGCTCACAATCAGAATCAAATACTATAGAAGAGGGAAGGTCGCGCGGGTGCGGGGATGGCTGGTGTTGTATTGGGGGTCGCAATTGTGCATTGGTGGGGGTCGCAACTGGACCCCTTCCAGAGGGGGGTCGCAAAATTCCCGAAAATGTTCGAACGTGACGGTTGACCCTGGGGGGTGTGTGATTGGAGTGCCTGCCGCTTGGAAGGCAGTTGCCTAAGCTCCGCCCCCAACCATCGCACTCACTGCCTTTAAGTTTGACGATGAGCTAGTGAGAGAGTGTACAGCTGGTCATCAAAGTTATACTTCGGATAAAATCAAAATGAAAATCTGGTTGATAAAAAAGATTGGTGTGTAAAAATCACATTAAGTATATTCCAGAGCGCTGAGAAATGGAACTCTTCAGGTAAGAAATCGTAAGAAATAACAAGATTTGTGCTAAATTGCTGGGTAATGTTTATTCGGACCTGGGGCACACGCAGCATTGCTTCGTAGCTGTAGTATAGAGCTTTGATATGTCGTGAGAGTTCTACCTTATGATAAATTCCGGTGAAGTAATAATAAGAACGCAGCAAAGAGCACTAAAATGATGAACTGTTCAGAGTCTTGTACTCCATGCTGCTGCCAGCGCTTTCGTCACTGTTCTCCTGCTTCTCACCATTGTAATCACATGGGTTTGCCAATGCTGTTCTCATGAAGTACCAGCTGGAAAGTCACGACGAAAAGTGCGACAGCTATCGACGATCTTATTTATTCTCAGTGTATTGTGCTTGTGAGTTTATTTCTTTATGATTCATTCATTCTAAAACAACTGTATTTTTCGCTATGTTGGGAAGTACAAATATAGTCTCCGCGAAGCCCATCGAGATGAGAAATGTTCCTCTTTTTATTTACCTCCTTCAGCACCCTGCATCGGGCCAGTGTTCCAGCTGGGCGTCATCAGTTCTATTTCCCTCCCTAAGCGCGCTCACTCCACGACATCCTGCTATCTCTTTATTCAGAGTTTTGGTGGTAGTAGGCGTTCGCCCAATTACTGGATATTTTTATCTTCTTAGGCGAGTAAGATAGCAATATCGATACAGTTAGAGGTTGGGAGACTCAATTAGCCTGAAGAGCAATTTAGGTGGGATTCGATCCATGGTCTACGCGAGTGCTGGCCGCGCCCCCTTGCTGCCACCCCACATCACCTTTCTTTTTTTTGAATGCTGGAACATCCTTTCTAAGACCACATTAGGGGCGGTAAACGCTAGAAGAGCAAAGCAAAAGTTGCTATGTTCGAGCGAAATTACAACGGTGCTGTCGCGACAAAAGTCGCTGTGAAAAAAGTTCTTAGTTTAGGTGGTCTTTTAATAGTAGGAAGCGCGTGATAACGACTTGCGAGTTTGCCTTTTCTGTACTTCCGGGGTTCATTACCAGTGATATTTTGTCCTCAACTGTACCACTTTTAGGGAAATAATTTCCTTCTGGAATATCCCACGGCCCGATTTCGAAGTTTATCTATTGATTTTTGTTCATCAAAGGTCTTCAGAATTTTGACTATTAAATGACCAGTTGGTGTATGTTACGTCTTGAAAACTGAAAATTGACAAAAATTAATTTCATATCGAGCTATCAAACTCCCCCACTTTCTTCACGATTTGGGGCGCGGCCGCGGCAAACCCGCGGCGTTGGCGGCCGAGTAGTGCGGCATCAGGCCGATGTCATAGTTTGCGAATCGAGCGATTCGCTAGCGAATCGCTCGATCCGAGCGTTGCGCACCGCGAATCGAAAACGTTGCAGCTAGCTGCGATGCGAACTTTGGCACCAGCGAGTCGACGCCGATTGTATGCCTTCGACATGAGTCGAACTAAGGTACCGCGAGCGACTCAATAGTGGCCGGGAGCCGCAAGCGTCAAGCAGATACGCCCGCCACTTTCAAACAGCGTCCACTGCCACGTGACACTGTTTGAATGTGGCGGGATTCCTTTGAAAGTTGGGTTCCGCCACTATTGAGTCGCTGGTACCTAGTTCGACTCGCTGGTGCAACGTTCGACTCGCTGCTGCAACGTTTGATTCGCTGACGCAGGGCTCGGATCCAGCGATTCGCTAGCGAATCGCTCGATTCGCAAACTATGACATGGGCCTCAGCTTGCTTGAGTGTTCAACATTACATCACGTGTCGTTACCATCGGATGAACTATCACGTAATGTAACGTCGAATACTCAGGCAAGCTGATGCCGCGAACGCCGCGGATTTGCCGCGGCCGCCCCAAATCGTGAAGAAAGTAGGGGAGCCGAGCTATCAATTTGGGATTTTCCTGAATTTTTCTTCCAAACTGATTGCTAAAGGTGGTCTTCGTACTTTCTTCAAAATACTTCTCAAATTATCTCGAAAACAGATTGAAATTTTGCGAAATTCATTTCAGTTACTACTTTTCAGTATCTTTCTCGGATTCTGTTTATTCGGAAACGAACACTTCAATCGAGGTGTTACCAAATCGTTGAATGGAATAGCTGATGTGAATCGTGGATTTAAGCTTGCCATTGCCCAGGTGACTATTTTTCAACATTGTACCTTTATTTTTTGAAAGGTTTTTTCTTTTCAAATTTAAAGCGAATAGTAAAAAGTCTGTAATTGAGGAGTGGAAGGTAGCGGTACTGGTTGTATTTTTCGGTGATTTTTGGTGCAAATTTTGGTACTTTATAGGGTGGGCTATTTTGAGCTACCGTATCTATCAGCGCTGTAGATGACAAAAACACTTTATTCTGATAATTAGTAACAAGTATTGAACAAGTCCATTTCAGACGACCGGTTTGAACGATACGTGCCAGAATGCAACGATCCATCTCAAGAATCTTGAGGAAATCGTACACGTGAAAAGCAAGCAGCCTGGACTCAACAAGACGGTGATTCTTAATTTTTTCATTGCCGAAGCAGGGACTGACGAAGATATGGAACCAAAAATAGTGAACACTTCAACCAGAAGAGTTAACTAGCGACAGAGCTTCTCTGGATGCACACAAACAACGTAAACAATTTGTTTATTCAGCGGGCAAGGTCAAAGAAGGTCTTTTGTGAAAAAACAACTGAAAAGGCATTTTCGGAAAAAAGGAGGGGGTGGGGTAAATATGCCTGGAAACAAAAAAGATTCCAGTTTTATCCATTCCATGTTTTTTTTTGAAGTTTTTGTTGGAAACCGTTGAAAAACGTCAAAGGACTCCCCCTCGTAAGCACGGCCTCTTCATTTTCCAAAAAAAACGACACCCTTCACCTTCGACCTTTCTACCTCATCATTCCCATTTATGACTCCTCCCAGATCCCAAATTGAATTACCCCCGTCTGGATCGGCCGGAAACCGGAGCAGACGTCCATCTTGGCCGAGAAACAGTTGTTCAGTTATCTAGCCATTTTTCTCCATTGTTTGAGCGGTGTCGGAGGCGTAGTATGAGTTTTATAGTTTTAATTCTGCACACGTGGTCTGTGCTGTGCAGCAAGTGGAATTCTTTCAACCTAAGAGACCCTCCCTTAGTCATTCCTCACATTAGCGTTCGATCCCCTTCCTCCGCTCTGACTATTGACACTCTCTCCAGGACTCCTTGTTCTCTGAAACCCCCTGGATCCTAGTCATAAGTTTTTGCTGTGAACGACGCCCATCATTTTGGTACCCGATTGTGAATTATGGCCCGCCCACTGGGGATGCCCGCCCATTGTGAGCGGCACAGTGCTTGTTTCATATGTGCATTGGGGGCTTGTGCAGTTGCCAAATTTCACAAGCTTAACTAAGTTATCACCATAAATCATGTAATAAATGGCTTTCATTACAGCTGGTGGTGCAGACGGATACTATGTTATCGTTGATCTCAAATGGAATGGATTCAGCACAGGAGAAATTGAATGCGCTTCAGAAAACGTTGGCTGAAGTGAGCTTCCTGGAATGGGCTAATGTGTACGGAGAACGTATTGAACTTGAACGGTGAGCAGCGACTATTTTTCTCAATCAGAGCAATTCTAACTGCTTCTTACCACTCAATACCGTTTATACTCCTCTTATAGCTGAAAGAAAATGAAACTGGTTTTACTACTGCGCATGCGATACCAATATTATACGCTTCCCAGAGCCAAAAGTTTATAAGGGTGCATCATAGGTCGACAAACGCGCAGTGGAAATCGACACTTTGATGGAATAGGGAGGAGGGCGTAAGCGCAGGTGGTGCTGCGGCAGGCTCAACACGAGAGGATGTAGAGCGGGACTAGCGCTGGACCTGCACGCGTGAGCCAACGTGTAATATAAGAAAATGTGTACACTGTAGCGGAAAAAATTGGGCATTTTGTTTTTGTACTCTGTTTTTCTCACTTGACACATTTGTTCAAATATTGGTGTTGTCCTGCATCTTCTGTTTTATTTTATTTTTTTAATATCCTTAGCCTGGTTGTAAGGCGTAATGAGCAAAACACGGCAAGGTTTTGAAATGTAACTGTATCAGCAAAACTATGTAGAGTTGTCATTGCATGTTAGGACGAATTTACAATCCTGTAATTCTTTGTAAAGGCCAAATAAATTAACGATTTTAAATGGAGGTCGAAAACTCGGCGCATTCTAGAACTTGACTGATCGATGAAAAATGTTTTATTACTACGAGTTAACAAGTTTTGAGTAGGGCAGAGCTGGCATGTTTCTCCTTCGAGTCGCTGAGAGTCATATTTTTCAATCTGGCATACATTTTTGTTGAAAATGTGAAAGAGCGGGGGTTCATGAATAAGTTTTCCGCCAGGAATTTCGATCACCGCAGCAGTGAAGCCAGAGAAATCATGTGAAAGTATGTCGCTTCCAACAAAAAGTGCAGCAAACTTACGGCTAATTTTGCACTAAGCTAACGGAATTTAGCTGCAAGCAGCTGGCCATTTCGTTGGCGGACAGCTATCAGTTTTTCGAGGCCGCACCTACGTGCGTCAGCAAATTCGTGCAAAGTGTCACTTGCGACACTTTTACTTCGGATGCGAAGCTGTTTTGGTGAACTTCACTAGGAAACTACTCTCGTGAACTTTGGGGCGAACTGAAGCATTGTGGTTCCTTGTCACATGCTATGTCATTTTGAGTAACTACTCCTAGATCTAGGTGTCGTAATTCCATCCGAATTAGGTACACTTAGGCTTATTTGTTAATCGTCTGCGCCCGAGTCGTCAAAAGTATCGTACAGGGCTTTGCATGCTACCATTGTGGTTTAAAGGCGGAATTTACGATATAGCACCTCTGGTAGGCACACTAGCCCTTTGCGCAGGGAGGGCATGGGGGGGGGGTGTAGAGCCCGGCGTTTATGTTGCTACCTTGCAATCGGTGCTACAATGATGGCTGATTTCGTAGGTCTTATTCATTTTTTTTGCTTGTTTTCACGTCTATTCGTCGGCCTGTTTAGCGTACCCACTGCCTTTAACCCTGATAGACAATATGTATAGGTTTAAGGAAAAGGTTCTTTGAAACTTCTAAAAAGTAAATTTCAAGCATAATTTCATGCACCACAACTAGTGTTACCGTGGTGCAGATTGAAGGCTGATTACCAAAACTTGTGAAAAAAAAACATTTTAATTGTTTGCGGGTGTAGATGAACTTCCCTCCACTTGGTAAGATGTTTTCGCTTGAAAGGTCCGATCCTTTGCTCTACCGCTAGTAAATTACAGCGTTGGAGAACTATCAATGGAACTAGCCTCGCCATGGTTTTAGTAGTGGGTCATTATGCGGCTATTACACTGCTGTCAACAATCAGATGCCGCATAATCGCTGCTGCCTCATGATTGAGTTGTTTCGATTCTACATAAAAGGGCGCTAATTGCGATGGCGCCCAGTGCGGTTCACGCACCAGGAGAGACATCAGTGCTCAGGAAATCGGCATTTGGGTGTTCTGGTGTCCCTTGACTATCAGGTACTGCGATGACTGGCCTACAGCGTAGTAGCTTTGGTCATCATGCTCGATGCATGCTGTTTTATTCCTTTGAGACCACCTGCTAGGACCAGCGTTATCCAGCAGCATTAAGACTTGAGCAGCGCGGGTTTTAGGAAAAACATTATTGAGTTACTAGGTCCACAATCCTTCCTTGATTTGCGATGGAGTCGTGTGGCGTTCATAGCCGAAGAGCGAAGTCCAGTGCACTCCTTCGAGATTGGGGAACAGCTAACAAGAGAAAAAGAGCAGAAATGATTTTATTATCGATTTTCACTGCTAAGATTCGCCTAGCAAAAAAATTGCTCTTGAAGTAGAAGCAGCAAACTCGACTTCTGCAGGACGAAAGGAAACTGTTGAAGTGCCTCATAGCCCATAAATATTAACCCATAACGGACGGCCAGTGTATTTGTCGCGTGCGCCACCATGTGGCGCACGCCGCCACCCAGGGTGGGATTTATGTAGGCTTATGTGAACAGCAGGGGTAAGACGGGGGTAAAGTAGGTGTCGGAGTATCATCATCCGAAAAAAGAGATTTCCGTTGACGACAAGTTCGTAGCTCGCCTTTCCGCTCTAAAACTAGGGTGCAAAAAATGAATGGAAGCTGCAGGTGACATTATCGAAAAATGCGAAACAACAACCCCAAGCAAGGATGCGGCTATATTTAGGGGAAGGGGTCTCGGGACGTGCGAACCATGTGTAAGCCACCCATCAAATAGTAAACTTACGTAAATTAAGACAAAATGTATGTAAAATTCATTGTAGGTTTGCCAAAAATCCAGCCGTCCAGGTTCTGGGAAGATATGTTATTCCACATTGCTGAGAGTATATATGGGTATGTTAAGATTGCTAGAAACATTCCAAAAACAAAAGAAATAGTCGTGCGCCACCTTGTGGCGCACGCCGTCCGTTATGGGTTAATTATCCATTAAAACTGATCTCGGCTATATATTTGCTTGAAAATTCTTAAATATTGACTTCGTTATGTTGACCATCAACCCTTTGACGACCGTGTGGCCCGCCGGTGGGCCTCGAAGGCGACTCGTTTTTCGTCTTTTATTTGGCATTTTTAAATGTTTTAAAGCTGCCCATATACATCATCGGAAGCGCAAAACAATGTGCTCGTTACTAATAATGAAATTGTTGGAGCTTTGATGGATTTTGATGAAAATTTTGTAAAAGGAATGGAGCAACGCACGCACAACGGCGGTCGTCAAAGGGTTAATGACCATTCAATTGCAAGACTCTCGGGGTAAATAAGGCATAAAGAATTCCACAATGGGTCAATATTTTTCTCAAAAATTTCTTTTCATCTTAATATTTTCTCGAAGTGTTTGCCAGTGTCGAAATGAGTAAGGCCAGAGGACGCGGTAGACTGAACTTAACCAAAAATGGAAGTTGAGATGACAGTTGATGCAGCTTTAAAGAAAAGGCTAAGGAAACGGCCTAAAACCCGCGAAGTGGGACTCGTTTTTGGTGAATTCCGCGTTGGACCAGATTTTACGATAGTCAGCGTTACCAATATGAACGTCTTGTTCTGCCTATATGCTTCCCTTAGCTGCAACAAGTAACCCCCCCCCCTCACCCGGTTGAGAGCGCTACTTGAAAGGGGGACCACCGCGAGGGTAGCCGTCGTGGTAGTTTCCGCCTTTGAAGTGGAGCATCTGTCGCCACTAATAAGTCCTCCTTAAAGCGTTGCGGTTGCACCCTACGCCCCAACCAGGGTCAACCCTACGTTGTTACGAGTAACAACGGGGGGGGTCGTACCTGGTTGAGTTTGTAGGGGGGGTCGTACCCACTTTAGTCGCTCACGTGTGGGGAGGTGAAACTAAGATTTTGTGGGTAGTAGGCTGGGTGAGTGGAGTGCGCGCAAGATAAAAATTTTTACCGTTTCGGAGTGACTATACCCCCCCCCCCCTCTCCGCTCGACGGCATTTTTGGAGGAAAAAGCGGGGTTTTGATGGAAGATGGAGATGGTGGAGGTAGGGAAAAGGGGGATGTATCAAATCCACGTTCAGGGAGGGGGGTCGTAAAAAATTTTCGAGAAGTGACAACGATAGGGCAGACCCTGGCCCCAACCGTCACATATTGCTACCTTAGCGGCCAAGCCCTCTTTGATGCAAGTGTATTTTCCCACTTCAGACATCAAATTTATCGCGTAACTACTTTTTAATTTTAAACAATGCTGTTGTAGATGGATGCTGTTCGTCACCTTGCTTTCCATCATGATGTGCGTGCTGTTTGCTGGCGTGATCTCATTTTGTCGCCAATCCAAGAAGGGTGCCGTCGTGTTTTCTGGTCTTGGCATCGTCATATTTTTCGTCGTCTGGACGCTGTTCTGTCTCGTCTTACCTTTGACAGTGGTAAGTAGGTCATCATTCTTATGAGAGAGCTTTTGGTGCTATTCACCAGCGCATTTGTACAATTTTTATATGGACTTTTACATTTCACGAATATTGACGAGCAAAGGTAGTGGGAAGCGATTTTGAAAGGAACCCTTGGATATTTCACAAAAGAATAGCGTATACCGTCTCACCGTCTTTTCGTTCAGGCGCTCGTCGACTTCTGTACTTCTGGTGGCGAATATATGCAGTCGAAGCTCAGTCACCCGATGTTGAACGCGATGGAGTTCTACCTTAACTGTGACGCTCGACCAACTCATGACAATGTACCGCCAGTGATGGGTGCGACGAACATCAGTGACACTCTGAGCGCGTTCCAAGCGAACCGAACTCGGCTTGATTCACTTCTCGACATGACTTTTAAGCATGATTCAACGGTTAGTTCGAATATTATCAAGTAGTCTTTTATTTTTAATATGTGAATGGGGCTGTCAAAAGTAGCGTTAACCAGAAGGCTAAATTTTCTTAACTATTTGTTGAATTATCCAACCCTCTTTGAGTGTGCCTTTGATGCCACGGATCGGATTAGGGTGCCAAGAACCAGTCCCTTCTAGACTGAGAAAGTGGGGTCCATAAATGCAGCAGGCGCACCGTCCTAAACTGAGAAGCAACGGCGCTAAGGCCTTTACTTATTTGTGGCTGTGCTGCCGTCCTTACAAATCACGATCTAAGTGGCGTCTGCGCTCTCTCGCGCACGACGTACTGTCTCGCGTTTTCCCGCACCTAGCAGCGCTGTCATCATACCACGGCCGACCTCACAAGGGGAATTTCAGAGTTTCCTATGGTGCTTTTTGCTTTTACTCCTCACTCTTGTTCCTCATCTCTCTCATTTTCAACAAAATAAGACACAAATTTTATCCCGAAACGTGCCTTTATATCTTCTTACTAGGAGAGGTCAATTTGAACACATAAAAGGTGGATTCCATATGAGACATGTATTTATCCTATTGGGCTGCTGTCAGAAATAAACAAGGAACGTCATTCAAAGAAGGATTTCACTATAAGGCATTGGAAAGGGACTAGAGTAGTGGAAGATAGGGTTTTCTTCAAATGCGTACCGACACGCGATTCGCAGCGAAGGATATGCCCCCGTCGATTCAGCATGGCCCACCCCGCTACGCTATCAGCACATTTTCGGCGTAATACGCCTCCCTTTTGCTATCTGACCCTGTAGCTGTTTAGCAGAGAGAGAACTTAGCGTTAAAAATGGCAGCACCGATGAGAGTTGCATCAGTGCAAAATCCCGGGCGAACAAAGGGTCCCATTTCTCAGGTTCTGGGCCGTTTCTCATGGTTTTATTCGGTCCTTCATCACTAATCACCTCAATTCACGTTTCTAATTAGCTGCCTTTTCATCGTAAAATCTGCCTTTAATTGTGACTTTAGGTGTCCAACTCGTCATCTCTCCTGGCTTCCGATACGATCAGAGCTTTGAAAGGTATTGGAGCTCTCGAATCTACTCTAGCTTGCTATGGTTATAGAGACAGTGTTCGAGCAATGCATTATGGAGTTTGCAACCAAGCCATGTAAGTTGTAGCAGACTTATAGAAGTGTCCTTTGATCTATTGTACAATGCACCTATGGGTACCTGTTACTGAATTGTGTAGGGTGTGAATAGTAGCTTGGAATGGATGGGGCGTGTCATTATCTGAGAACGTGTGTGAAGCAGGGTGAATATCGCTAGAGGATTCCTCAACGGCACGTCGAGGATTCTCTGCCCGGTCAGACACGATCTCTCGCGCGGACATTAACACTCGCCATCGGCGTGCCGTCTGTGCTCTCCGCGCGGATGTTCACTCTCGGCGCTACTCTCGCATGGTAGAGAGCTATGGTCGAGGAAATCCTCGACCGTTATTCACCCTGGTGTGAAGTGGTTTCGCACGCTGATGAATATTTTCAAGTGTATCCTTTACGTTCTAGCTTTTACTATCAAAAAACAGCCATAGTCACGCCTCGATCCGTTGCCGCGTTCTACTCCATGTGCTTAATGACTCCTGGCTGAGCAGATGTTTGCGGAGATGAGGACTTCGCTTTCTTCACTGGGTGGAAATTAGATTTCCTCAAGAATGTGGAAATGCAGTAGCTTGCATGAGATGAAAGCCGATCCACATTGGCTCGAGCGTGTTTTCACGCGAACGTCGTTCGACTTCAGGAGCAAATTTCTAGTCATCCAAGAAGGCGGCGGAGGACTTTTAATCAGCTTTTGTGAATCTCACTCAAATTTTGATTGGGCTGGAGGCGAGTAACTATCACCTTATCAGAACATATCTGTTGAATTGAGAGGGTGAAGGCTGAAGAATTAATAATAGATTGTCACATCGATGAGTAATTAAATCAAACAGTTGCAAAACGCTCATAATCCGTCAGAACAACCAGTCGTTACATAAAGGTGAGCGCTGTGTGCACTCGACGGCTATTTTGAATTTTTATGCGCAATGAAGTCATTATTACGAATTTTTGGTGAAATAAGTCATTCCTTCAATGTGATTTTGTAGAGAATTCTCACTTCTATATGCCAAAACCTAAGCAAGATCCAAAAAGGATGCCTGAAATTACAGTCAAAGAAACCAAAAGCATATGTTTCTGTTTTTCTCTACCTACTTTTTGTGGTGTACCTATGTCGAACTTTTGTGTCGCACTTTCCACGAAGAAGTTCATGGAGAGAGTCAGTAGTGGAAGTTCCGTCAGAAGCAGCTTCATTTCTGAATTGTTTTTGAGAGTTGCTAGAGTTTGCTCTGCCTATAAGTGACTTGAAATTCCGAACTTGCGCAGTGAGCAAGGCTCATGCTTCCATGTTTGGTTCCCAACACTGCAACTTGTCGGTCCAAGATGGATTCCATGGAGGGAGAGAATGTTGAAGGCAAGAGTCGGAATCAATTTGATACGGTAGTCCCTCTTATATACGAAAGTGCAGCTGCGAGATGGACCACAAGTGGAGCAAAAAGGAAGAACTATCGTCAGGATCGCAGAGTACACAAACCTTGCCCTTCGCTGCGGAGATGTCTAGTAGTAGCAGACAGTGAAACAAGAGATGATGTAGTTCAAGGGGAAGAGAAAAAAATTCGATTCGAGAGAGCATAGCTGGTCAGCCAACACGACACAGTGAAGCTGTCATACGGTAAGTGGGTACCGTACTGCCGAGTGTCGGCCCATCGAGATCGCAGGCGCCTGATGCCTTGGTAGCATCCGAGATGCTAACAAGGGAGGTCTTTCAGGACAGAAATGGTTCCCTGCATGTTGTAGGGGCTTATGCGAGGAACACAGAACCATGATTCATTTTTCCTGAACGCCTCCACGAATGTGCAAACAGTGGCGAAGAAATGGTCCAAAGTTCGATCCCCGGTGATGACAAATTTTTGCGATATGGTTTGTCTCCCCAGATTGCCGTCAGATGAAGCTACCGTCAAGAATGGATGTCAATGTCGTTTTTGCGGCAATTTGGAGGTGCCAACATAAATTGCAAAATTTGCCACCACGGAGGATCGACCTTTGGAACATTTCTTCTCCGCTGTGCATTCCTGGAGCGTTCTGGAAAAATGGACCTGTTCTGTGTTCTTCACATGAGCCTCTACAAGATTCAAAGAAGCATTTAAAGACGTTCCATGTCCTGACCACCCCTTGTAAGTTGCCGCGATCTTCACAGTTGCGGACTAGCACCACCAACTATTTGGGGATCTCGTCAGTAAGGGTGGGCCCGACCTTCGTCTTCAAATCCGATCTTTGATGTGGCAACTCTATGAACAAGTATCTCTGTTGTGTTCCGGACCGAAATGAGCGAAATCGGGAAAAATTTTTCTCAGCTACGCTTATGAGCGCTTCAAACTTAAAGCAACAATCCAGGAACGAATTCGCGGGTAAGGACCACCTATAATGACGTTGCAGGTGACAAGTTGGTCAATGGAGATAGAAAAAGTAGAAAAAAACGTTGGGCAGGGGCTTAGACAGGGACTCCCCCGGCCGTTTAAGGAGATGTAAGTTGGACGAGTTGTCCGAACCTGCCCGTAGTACATGCGCTCCAGTTGACTCCTGGCAAATAGCCATGCATGCTTGCAAATACATAACTATTTGCCAGCAATCGAAATTCAAGCGCTTCAATTGGGTTCTTATGGAATCGACCTCATACAGCGCGGCGGTCCCGCAACGACCGCTAGTCGAGCAAGCGCTCTGCACAGCGAATGTTGGTCGATCCGCCTCTTTATGGGTGATCCGCCCCCTCCAAGAGGACTTCGACCCCTTCCAGCGCATTTTAGAGGTAGGTTTTGAAATTAAAGACATTTCCTATAAACTTTAGTTGGGCTGGGGCATGTTTTGACCGCCTAATGACCAAGTAGTTGAAACCTGCCTGGACTGTTGCTTTAAGTAGAGAGCGTTGAGATTGTCGAAGAGAGCAAGGCTGGCTCCCATACCTCAGAAGAAAGCATTAGCGTTTGATTTCCACCATCTTAGCCTATAATTCTCGTATTGGGTTGTAATAAATCTCAAAAGACATAAGCTATGCGATGAAAACGAGGGCATAGATTAGTCTTCAAAAATTTAGCCCAAACGGCTGATTGTGTGGGCTTTCCCTCTATAAGGCATTTGCTTCTACCTAACCTTACATCTAGCCTTAGATTTTTTACGAGTGGATAGAATAACGCACGCGAAACGTTTCGGACAATATTTTTTATCCTACTATAGACCACATGATGAATTTATTATGCGTTCTAACAGTGTTGCTGCTTCCATTGTGTATAGCTTTTGGTGCTAACTTAGTTGGGGGGGGCCACGCGCGGCGCGGCAGTCTGCTCGCCTGCATGTTCGGAAATTCGTGGCGCCAGGGGGAGTGTAGGCAGTTTAGGGGGGGGGGTGGGGGCAGTCACTTAACATGCGTGAAAAGCTGGAATGTTCGAGTTTACACTGTCTCGCTCAGAGGACCCAGGTGAGCAGACTGCCGCGCCGCCGCGTTGCCCCCCGCCCCAACTAAGTTAGCACCTAGCTTTTTATGCCATTTCATTTTTCAGCATCGGATCATCAGTGCTCACATTTTGTCTCCTGTCGTTGGGCTTATTCCTATTCACGTTGCTGGTGATAGTTTCACGATCCTGGAACCTTTTCACTAGATTGTAAGTGTTTGCGATTACCAGCTTTTAACCAAATATATTTCTTATTTCTTTCGGTGGGCGAACTCTAGATCATCAAAATGTTCGAGTTGTCTAGATTTTTTTTTCATTATTTGAACGGCATTTTTCCCACGGCTAATCAATACATCAGGAGATCATACTCATCGAAAAGCTGAACCAACCGCTGATCGCTTTGGCTTTGAACACAAATCCCATTTTATTTGCGTCTCCTGTACATGTCGGGCGTGGGTGCGCGTCCTAGGTGGGGCTTCAGAACCTCACATTCTGGTCCGTCGTGGTCTCAGACACGGAACACGGGCTCCTAGTTGTTGTACGGAGGTACTTGCCAGGAAGCCTTTCAGGACATGGAGCGCCTTTTCAAGACGACTTTTTGAGTGTTATAAAGACGCGCGCGGAGCGTATAACTAGAATATTTTTCTCCTGAGCGGGCTCAGAGAATGCAAAAAAAGTACGAGAAAAACAAAAAAAACATGGGAACCATGTCCTGTGGTTCGATCCCCATTGAGGAGAAATTTTTTTGGTTTTCATTTGGGCTCATATACATATGTCTGAACTTATTCAATGAACAAAGAGCTTCCAGCATACAACATTCAACGCTACATATGTATGCTGTAAGAGTCGATTGAAGCTTTATTTCCGAAGAGAAAATTTCTTCTCTTTTTCTGGCGATCCCGGGCCACTCAGAAAAAAATAATGTTCATCAGTTTCATTCTCCACGTACCCTCCCCTTCAAAAAGCCAGAAATTGTGCAGTGCAGACCATACACCACAAGTGACGACGGCCTTAAAGGAAGTCTGGTTATTAGTGGTTCATAGTGATAGCTGATTTTTAGTAAATGGTAGTTGTATTATAATTACGGTCCACTAATCGAATACAACTGTAACAGGTTAATCATTTCATTGGCAACAAAGATTTGCATTTTCTGGAGGCCGTCGTCACTTGTGGTGTATCGTCTGCACCCGACACCTTCTGGTTTTTGAAGGGGAGGTTACGTGCACCTATAGCATGCAGCAAACCGTTTTGTAAATGCGCTCCATGTCCTTGAAGACCTTACTGGTAAGTAGCACACTTATCGTTTCAAATGGCCAGTTCGATCAAACACCGTTCTCTTTTATCCAAATTGCCCTCTTCTCCATGAGGTAAACCCTTTCATGGGACACTATATAGCTAAGAAAGTTGCGGCAGCAGCTTGTTGTTCTTGAATGGGAATCTTTTGTCCCTTCAGTTACTATGGGCGATGCGTTTCTTAGTAAAAGTGACAACTTGGGATGGATCACGATATTTGGTTGAAAGCCTTATGTGACATGCATGCTTTTAGACCTTCTGATTACGTCGAAGTGGATGAGGATGACCCGTTTTTCCCTCGCGCTAATGATTCCATGATACCAGTGGACATCTACGGAACGCATGTGTTCAATCCACGAACACGGTGAGATACTTTGAGATTTAATCGTGCCCTGTGTAAACTATCTGCAACTGCAATTAATTTCAAGTATTTAGGGATCGCATCGAGCCATCAACAAACACTACAACTGCCACGGGAAACGGCTCTGGCGATGATCAAGCAGCTCAACTTTGGAATACCGCCAGTGCTCCACCTGTTGCTCTGAGGTATATTAACGAAATTGTAACATCAGTCATCAAAGGCACATAACGCGGCTGATCAAGGGTAGAATGTTGCGTCTGAAAGATTTTGTATTCGGGATCAACCAGTAATGAAAGGGAGGGAACAAAGCCGCTCATAACTTTAAAACCATTCACCCTTGATCGTATGAACACGCTCAAGAGATTACCCGCCCTTCTCACTGATCTGCCTAGGCTCCTTACCGCATTTTACTGTGTCAAGAGAAGAGTTAGTCAGTGAATGCTTCCATGACCGTTAATCGACTCTTTTTTTTCTGGCTTTAGGAAGGCCGTTCAGGAGAAGTAAATGCTAACTCTCTTTCTCGTGCAAGTACACCGAAAAAATTAACAAATCATTCAAATTCAATTCATCGCAACAAAAGATGCTCCACCCCTCCCCCTTCCCTCACCCCTTTCCCCTTCGGTATGGAGTGACCCACTTTTGTGTCAATGTTTTCCCGCGCAGCCTTTGAATATCCATGAATTCTTTAAAACCACCGTTATGTAAAATAAAAGCAGATATCGATAGCTGTAAATTTTCACCTCGCCCGTCATTTACATACCGACGACTGCGCGCGTTTATACTTTTTGGCCGCGTGGGGCTGGCGTGGTTTCGTGAGCGCCGCCGCGTCAGCACACTGGATACACAAATGTGGGAAAAATGAATTCAAGAATGCTCAATGTGTTTAAGTAATCTGGAGTGGGAATTCTATTATAAACACATGTTCTTATAGTAGATAAGCATTTTTCACTTCCGGTGTAGTGGACGTCGAAAATATTTTTTAGGTGTTTCAGTAAAAACTTGTGCTTTGCCATTCCCTTAAATTTGTATTCACTTCTACCACTTTTTCTTATTGAATTGTTTATGACAACACACATTAACAACTTCGTAATGATTAGAAACCTCTGCTGAACTAAAGCATATTCAACCATTCTGGGAACCCTTAAAAGGAACCAATACTTTATTATGGCGCAGTCTATAAAATAAGTAGAAAAAATGAGAAAAAACGGTCGCGCATCCACACAAAAAATAAATGATATGGGTGCAAGGTGCTTGTGTAGCGCTGTTGTCAGTGTGTTAGACTTTTTGGGTTCGTCTTTTAGGAGACATTTCTTGCAACTCCAGAGAGGGACACACATTGCGTGGTTGTTTCGATTATAATTGATTTGTGATTGAATTAGTTGTCTCTCTAACAGTCTAGGAGGTATTACAGTTGATTTGAATCGAAATTGGCACGTCTTACATCATTAGTAATTCTGATGATTCTCAGCCATCATCATTGGAATAGTGTCAGATATGTCTTGAAAAAAAAACTGGACGACGGAGATCAAAAAGGTGCCCTTAAAAAGTTCATTATGAGACTGGATGTGGTTCACTGGAACAGAAAGCGAATTTCTCGCTTTTCGTGAGCTATTTTTTTTCCGCGGCGAGAACCCCACCACCCATGATTAGCGATGGACCTGAGGTCCCTGCAGCGAAAAAAGTTCCGCGTACGAAAAGCGGGAAATTCTCTTTCTGTCCTAGTGAACCACACCCTATAACGCACCATAGCGCTGAGCTAGACATGTACAGGGGGGGGGGTGGCAATAAAAAAGACATTTTTCTCCACATTTAGATGGATTTAATTATACTTTGCACAATTGAAACCGAATGGTCCCAACTTAGTATTGAAGACACATTTTATTTTGTAAGAAAATCTTCATGGTGGCCACCTACGTGGACGGCGTTAGAAGGATTTGCCCCGAAAACATGTGCGCTGGTCGAACACAATGGGTTCTTCGAAGGATCGTGTACTGTACGACCTTTACTGACAAGCGAGTTTTAAGTGGTCTGCATAGTGGGAGCTAACGCTTCTAGAAAGCTATCCAACATTCAATCGATTCACGAAATTGCGTAAGAGCTTCAGGCTTAAGCAGTTACGGTAGGCCTCCTTGAGCTTGACGGTGATGAAAGGCGACGTCGTATTCTAAAGACGGTGTGGGCAATGAAGAAGGGCCTGCGTCTATTTATAGAGGGACATTTAGGGAATACTTTGCTGAGGAACTTCCATCAATGACGGCATCTCTGCGAAGAAAAAGGGGCCGAAGTGCGACATGAGCAAAATCTTTTTTGCCCCCCCCCCCTTATGTTTTGGACCAGTTTCATAAGCACGTGCGCAAACACGCGGATAGTGCGGCGGTGAGAAGGGTGTCAATACACGCACTGGCGCATTTCTCGTTCTTGGCGCACAATTAGCGCCCCCCCCCCCTCACCCGATGTGTCAGTTCCATCTTCAATACATTTGTATAGATTTTGATGTTCTGCTGCCGTGTTGCTCCGGTGGCGTTTTCATAGCACAAGACTTTTCGTTTTTTATATGATTAATTATTTTTGCGCACTGATGAACTAACCTAGGGGCTCACCACCACATTCACATACAAATGCCCGATGCTAGCCGTTCAAGGGCTTCGAGCAATAATAATTCACATAAGAAGTTCGTGCTAAAAAATACGCGAGAAATACGGCACGTAGAACATCGGAAAAAATTAGGTAAAATATTGAAGTTGAAATCGATGTACTGAAAGGCACTGATTGTGCGCCAAGTACGCGTCGTGCGTCAGTGCGTGTGTTAACGCTCTTGCGCTGCCAGTCTCCTCCACGTCTGCGCAAATTATGAAATGAGGCTTGTGTGCTTCATTTACACGAATGGCATAATATATAATAGTTTATTGGAACGATGCCTATTAGTTCACATCAATTATTTCAGCTCCGCACGGTCGCCGTACAATGAGAATTGTTATGGGAACTATGTGAACAATCGATACGATGTTTAGTCGTCACTTATCTCCATATTTGACTGTATATATTGCGCTGTAAAACATTATCATGGTTGTTCAGACATTTTCACATAATTGAATGAACGACAAAAACTTCGCTTGACCGCATCGTCATGGTTGACGACCATTGTTGCTCCGTACCATTTCTGAACTTTGTTTCGCCACTTTGCGTCGTTCAGAGCTCAGAACTTGTTTGTTTCGTCTCTTTCTCGTGCTTATCGTGTCTTGTTTTGCATCCAATAAAAATTGAAACTACTTTCGAAGTCCTAGCTTCAGAAGATTCAGTGTGCAGGAGCATTTCTAGTCGTTGCCGAATGAGATACTCGGAGGTCCGGTGCAGAATTTTCGTCCAATTCTGCGTACTTTCGGATCAGGAGCTTTTGCCTCAGATTTTCGGGAGGTCATTTTTTGAAATTGGCTTCCTAGGTAAAGATCATAGGTCTATGCAATGAGACATATACCATGGAGTGAGTGACGAACGCGGTCATGTGTGGTGAACGCTGATATCAAATTTTCCTAATGTGCCATTTGTTTCTCGGTAGAAGATACGAAAGGTCTTCTGTTTTTCAAAGAGATGACAAGCGGGAGCCGCGTGAGCAGTGGAATGAAATGAAAGGGTGCTAGTAGGTTGTAGAACGGTGCTGGTGGCGTGTTTATCAGGGTCGGGCGGAATTTATCCACCGTTTTCATTTCACACCTTGAAAAACCAAACAAAAAGAACAACAGATGATTAATTAATAAGCGTCCGATCAGTCCTTCCTGCACCGAGCCTTCACCCAAGGCTTAGTTAGAACCAACCAGAACAATCAGAACTCCATTTTGCGCGCATTTTGGAACGTCAAATCGAAATGCAAAAATTTGTCACCAAGAGGAATCGAACTAGGAACCCCCTTTTCTGGTATTCAGAGGGCCGTTCAGGAAAAATTAAACATGGTTCTGTGGTCCCCGCATCTGCCCCTATATCATGCAAAAACCGTTTTCAAAAAGCTCGTCACGCCCTGAAAGACCTTCCTGGTCGGCCCTATACTCATGTAGCATGAGCATTCCTTTTTGCTCCCGCGTAAGTTCCATAGTGAAGAAGATATGCAAGTGATGTACACCGAAATGACAAATTGCGCGCCCTCATGCGTCACAATATTCAGAAATTGCAGTAAATCAAGGGGTCATGAGTTTGAGAAAAATGACGCTTAATTCCCGTTCAAGCTAATATTAGGTCATTCCATTCAAACTTGTAAAGACATATAGAGAAAGTATGGGGAAAGTGTGTCGCAAAATGCGACTTATTCAGTACTCATAATTTCCAAGCATGTAGGTGGCTATGTTTAGATTGGATATTTTGCCATAGAGTTTGGAGAATCATGGTTGTTATCAAAAAGATTCTCATGAGAAAATTATGTTTTTAGAAAAATGTTTCACGTCTTAAATAATCACGTTTCCAGGCTGTATGAAAGCTTCGCCACAATATTCTCAAGAGTCGGATTACGATTACGAGTCGATTTCATTCTGATCACACCAGGTTCGGCACTCTCATCGCTACCCGTTCTCCACTACTCGTCATCAATCACTAGCAATTGTTCGGACCTTCTCCTCCTGTTCGACGTTCACCACCGCTGCTTCTCCGTTGCTGATCGTGCTCCTGATAAACCTGATCGTGTGTTCTGCAGCAGCCCAAGACGGATATAGTTATTTATTCTACGCTACCACCTCGTCAGAACCTACTTCTACTTATTTAGTTCAAGCTGTGACAGCTGTGGAACCCTCGTCAACAGTAAAATTCGGAATCCAATTCTTAATAGCTTAGTCAGCCACTCACTGGAACCGAAGAAGATAATTGGTACTTTCCGTGCAGGACTAAGCTGTGCAGAAGGGATTCTATTCATTCTAGTCTAATAACAATAATACCCCGTGTCATGACTCCAGTCAATCTGGATCAAGCGCCAAATTCACCGCGGTCTCAATCCCTCAAACAAATTAGACGCATTCTTGAAGAAAAGAATAACGAAAACGACATTGCACCGACTGATACAGCTATTCACTCGACAATGAAGAGAGACGAAACTTACTCCTAATCGCGCTTCGTACTATGATCTCAATCGGCCAGCACATTTTTCTTTGAAAAAAAGGAGGCACTATGAACTATCTCACATATCTAAATTGGTCTCATAGGACTATAATTATAGATGAAATCGCAAAAATCAAAAAAAAATACAAAAAGAAAAAAAAACAAAAGAGAGGGAGGGAGCTACCTCATTTATACATAAAAGTACCTTATACGGTCATATTGAGAACCACCAAGAGCGCTCCTCAACTAAAAAACTCTCGCTGTTGATGTCAAGGGTTTTCTTTCAATAAATTTCTTGAGTTTGACAGCGGGAGTTTTGACACCTCGAAAACCTCGGTAAACCAAACGAGTGACCACTAAAATGACACTCAAAGTAAGCACCAAAAAACAACCCGAGAAATACAACTACTATCGGCGAAGTATGAAATAAGCACGGAGCACACAAAAAAATATAATGAAGAAATTCTGCGCGTAAACAATCAAATGGAGCAATAAAGCTGCAAAGCTGCTATTTGAAACCAGGGACATGTTCACGAAAGCAAAATGGTGACTTAATCTGGAGTCGTCACATGGAAAAAGCCGACAAACATAGATCAAATAGACACTAAAGATCCGACGATCTAACGACAAAATCTTGGAATGGCCGACCTGTTCATTCTGTCTCCATCTGACTGAATTCTGCGGATCCGCTTATTCTGCTTTGAAAGTATGCTCCGATTAGCTCCAGCTACCTCTACGATGGCGACTCCTCAAAAAATGCCGAGAAACATACGACATGCACTTCTGGTAGAAGACGAATTCGAGAATCTCTTAAACACAGTTGAACAGTTAAGGCAAGCCCTGATGGCACTTTGTGTGAGTTTACAGCATAGAGCTTCAACGTGATAATCCCTTCTCGAGAAAGAAAGAAATCTACAGCACATTACAGGAACGACAAACGATATTGAATACAGACTTTACAATAGTGAGATGCTACTGGTGCAAGCCGTCGCGACATTACCGCAGGCACTAGAACTACTGATAAACGAAGTTTGCCAGATACACCAGGTTTGGTGGATTACCAAGGGAAGATCGTATTAGGGACCTGCAATAAGGATTTATCACTACGTTTAGTAGAAGGATCGACCAAACCAATACATTCACGAGGTTTATATACAGAATATAAGGGTTCCACGGTCATCGTGGCTTACCATCGGGTTGACACTGCGGGTTCAGTCGGTAAAGATGGAGGGGGGCCGTCCTGGAGGAAGTGGACAACTCGAACTCGTTCTTTCAAATCGCCGCTCGTTGCTGTCGTCGCCTGCGGTCTCCTGCCTAAGCGGCGTCTACTACGACCTGAAACAGTCAAACTGTTACCATACTACGACTAGCTTACCTTCTTTTCTTGAGACCTGGAATCGCAACAGGTGCCGTCCACGAATCGGCTGAGTTCGAGCTATGCGCGGGAGCGCATATGGGCCCCTGCCGAGTCGTCACTAAACGTAGACGATCCATGGTATGCCAGCAGCGGACGCTCGCGTTGTATCACCTCAAGCCTTCATGAACCTGAAACCATGAACGAGTTCGCCTTCATGAACCTGAAACCATGAACGAGTTCGCCTTCATGAACCTGAAACCATGAACGCGTGGTTCAATTATGGAGTTGAAAAATACTGCGATGTTGCTCTGAGGGGCATCACTCCCCAGATGTTAGAATTTGGTGGTTCATCGCACGATCTACTTCCATTTCCATACACTTTATAATAATTATATTTATTATCTCAAAACCTTTATAAATCGAACAGCCTAGGTCCCCACGGCGAATATGATTGAGGTCGTTGACTCTTGAATTTGAGGTCTTGAGATGAGATTTGAGTTGACCCTATGAACCTTTCTCTGAAAAAAAAGGGGGGGCAGCTTGTTCCGCGAGTCCGCCGGCTTCGCGTTGCGATCTTCCCCCTCCTCCCGGAGAGATCGGACCCGCATTCTCTAGCGGTCAGACCAGGGTCGATGAGACTGTCGACAGCGGGAGGAGTCTTAGCCAAAGGCCTCTCTGCTCGACGCTCACGCTCTTGAATTCCTGCGAGGCAGGAGGCGGAGAAGGGGAGGATGACATCATGAATCTGGGGTTCATGTCACTCCCCAGCAAGGAAAGACGTAAACAAGCAAGGCGATATACGACTGAGGCCGCATCCTTCCCGCGCAAGCTGAGATCCAATGACTTGCCCTTTTGGTACCCCTTTTTCAATTGAAATTTGATTGAAGTTTGATTTTGAGTTCTTGACCAGAATAAATTACAATGCTTAGTCAGGCGAATGGAACAAAATATATAATTACGCATACAAACAATCTACATTTTTGATAATTCGTAGTTTCTCTAAAGAACACCTCTCAGGCGGCAACTGGTTCGCCTGTCTACGCACATTTTTCCAATCCATTTCTCAGAAACAATCTTAGTTCCTTTTGACTATAGCATAGATGTTGACATTTGAAAGTTGATGCCCAACTATTTATTCACTGTTTTAGCAACACTGAATTGTCTATAATCGGCCGTGTTGTACTCGAATAAGCACAGACAGAAAAGGCAATCGAGGATTAATTGACATTGCAATCAAACTAGAGGAAAAATGCTGAAGCAGGCCCTACGAAAATGGAACAACGACATTGAGAGATTGAACGATCGACTGAGGAAATTGAGTAAGTTGAATTCAAAAGTTGAAGTGAATTGAAATTGAAGAACGAGGAACATTGAGACTTTGAAAACATTGAAAAAATTGAACATTGAATGAAATGAGATTGAATTGAAAAATTGAATACTGATTGAGAATTGAGAATTAAAACGTATTGAGAATTGAAATTGAAGAAATGATTTAACTTGAAACTTCAGTTAAATTGAAATTGAGAAACGAGAAACATTGAAAAGGATTGAAAAATTTGCAATTATTGAGAGTGGCCT